GTGTGCACAGTCCTGTGTAAGTATTAGTGAGATCCAGAGACAACAGGAAAGACGGAGGCAGACAGAAAGATGAAGAGCAGCCGTGTGATGTGGTGTAATACTGTGGATCACCAGTGGTTGTGCCGTATACCTGTGTGTGTGTGTGTGTTTACGCAGGAAGAGGAACAAAAGGTATTTTTGTAACAATAACGTTATGATGTCCTTTGTAGCGACAGAACTGTCCAAATCCAAAATGGCCTTCAGTGCACCACCAAAAACAGCATCAGCCATGCTCTCTTTGGAAATAATGAACAAAAGACTCGCTTAAACGCGTTAATTGTACCGACGGCTCTATCTGATACTCAGGATCGGTATTGGTCTGATGTTGGTCAAAATAATCAGAATTAAACATTGAGAAAAACAACTGTAGCCTGTCTGATGCGATACCTAAACACAAATGTTGCTTCTATAGTGTAGCGGTTTACAAGCCTGGCTTTCCCAAAGAGAGTCCTGGGTTTGATTCCCAGCGGAGCCACATACTTGGCGCCTCCAGGTGGCAGCCTGTTGCAGCACATCTCCTGTTAACACAAGACTTTTACCAGTGTAGGACCAATGAAGTTCATAAAAAAAAATTAAAAAAATTAAAAAATGCTCAACTTAACTTTAAGTGAAAGGCTGTAAATGGAGACACCATTGCCTCAACAGAAGCCCTGCAGTGTGAGAGGGAAGCTGTTGGATTGATATCAGTATTAGGATACTCCAAGTATCCTTGTAGGACACGGACAATTTTAAGGTAGCCATCTCAAGTTAATTGCAGTAATTTATTTGTAGTTCAAGTTTAATCAGAACAACATTTTTTTTGAACATTTCAACTCGGGATCAAAATGACTGCATCCACTAACGCCAACGTGTATTCACCCATATTTCCCTTATACACGTTGAGAAAATGTTTTCATTTCACTGAAGCACTTACAGCTTAAAACACCATTACAACTTCAGGTCAGACCAGCCTCAGTGAGATCAGGAGAGTCAGCAGGTCTGTGACTGACAGTCCGACTGACACACTTGTCAATTGGATCGATGAATATTGTTGAGGACAACGACAACCGAGGCTACAAGTCACTGTCAAGATGCAACGTAACTGACTCTCTGTAAGCTGAGGTTGAAGTTAGATATGCATATTTTTCCACTATTTATCACGATTAATTATGTTCATTTAGGATCACAATTAATCATAAAAAAATTTTTCGAACAGTTTGGCAGCTCTTTCAGATACAAATACTGTACTGTAGTGGCGCTTTGGCCCAGAGACAATGTCTCTGTCATTGGTGTGGAACCCCAGGGTTCGCCTCCTGGAAAAGTTCGAATCCCGGTTAGGGCGGTTGGTACCTTCCAGTGGACTCACCACCCGCAGGAAGGTTCAGGGGAGGATTTGTACGGTGCAGTGTGATTTGGGTGGAGACTGCTGCCTCCGCGACCCGGTAACGAATAAGCGGATGAAAATGGATGGATGGATACTGCACTGCACTGCACTGTACTGTACTGTACTGTACTGTACTGTACTGTGAGAAATCCTAATGCAGCGATAAGAGTCAAAGAAAGAGTGGAAATATAAAGCGTAATGCAGCGTGATACGATTAAACCGTTACTTTGTGAGTTAATGCAGCCGAACGACGGAACACAGCGGTTGGGCGAGCTGCTGACCCAGCAACAGTGTGTGCCGTCTGTCTGTGGCAAATGCGTGTTGACTGTGTGTGTATACAGCCCACACATCACTCACTAAATAGGTGCATGTAAATAAGAAGTAAGATCTTAAACGGCGTACATGTCACAGAAGGAAAAGATTTCAAAATAAAAGCTTTTTCATGTCAAACTCATGATTTTTCTTAAAAGTATTAGAGAGAACAAGTTTAATAGACTGTCCAGAATCTCCAGAATGTATCTTATAAAACTTTCTATTTAGCCTCTAAGCCCAGCTGTGGTTGGATTTTGACATCAATTCAGATTGGAATGCTGAAAAAAAGTGCTGCTTTTAACGTAATTTGATGAGCCCATTGTGGAATAAACATCCATTAAGGCGGATGAACTTGATCAAGGTCAAGGAAGATTAAACTGGATGTTTTTAAGCAGACATGATAGCAGATTGCTTTGGCTTTGATTATCTACTGCAGATTAATTCATTTTCATGGGGGGAGCCGTAGCCCCCGACACAGATTAATTCATTTTTATGGGGGGAGCCGTAGCCCCCGACCCCTGAGTCTGCCATCAGGTGGTGGTGGTGGTGGTGTACATCCAGGACTGTTGACCAGTCCATCACAGGTCTATTTACACATAAGAGACAATCACACTTGTGAGTCTAGTAGCTTGAGGCATAGAGCGCCACCTGTTGAATGGGTCTGCAAAAAATAAACAATAAATATTTTTTTTGTTTTTACCGTGGCAGAAAGAAGGGAGAAATGCAAACATCCTCCAACCCATACGTGTCAAACTCAAGGCCTGGGGGCCAAATGCACCAAGCCGTTTTGTGTGGCTCGCGGCAGCTTAACCTGAGAAATTAAAAGTTTTTTTTATTACATCTTTTTTAAATTGATTATCTTTAAATAAAGAAAGTAAATGGATATGACTGGACTTTCTTTGAATGAAGTCAATTAGTTAAAATTAAGCAAATTTTTTAACTATGTCCCACTGCAGCCCGGTACCAAATGACCCATGGACCGGTACTGGTCCGCGGACTTCTTCAAGTGTAACTGTATTGCTGACGTGGCCCCTGGTGAAAATGAGTTCGACACACCTGCTCCAACCGGACAATCCCAGTTACCACTGGGAATCGAACAGGTGACCTTCTTGCCATACATCTAAATCATTAACCACTCCACCACCGTGCGCCTCATAGGCAATTCAATTGAAAAGAAAAAAAAAACGCATTAGGAACTTGAGACCATAAAGGTCCCATACATGTAATTCAACAGATACGTTTCAGACTGTCCACCTCTGCCTGCAGGTCTGCATTACAACAACATATAATTCAACAGATACGTTTCAGACGAATCCCTGTGACCTGATCTTTTTTTCACAGCAGAGCGAGCCGTCCACGTGGGGAGTCTGCATCTGTGGCGAACTGGCGTAGGTGATTGGACGGGATGTGAGTGATGGCAGGAGGGTGGATCCTGTGATGAAGCCTTTCTGTCCCAATTGGTAGCCTTTAATGGCCGTTCCTCCCTCTCAGCCCACACCGTTGGCAGAGGGAGCAGAGAGGTTGTAGTTCTTTCCAGCAGACAAATAATTGACTAGTAGGAATTAAACTACACGTCTTGACGTCACGTTGGTGACCCTGGTAATTGTGCTCCCATGACTGGCTGCATATAAACGTGTCTTCCTCCGAGCAGACGGTGTGAGTCCACAGAGGTTGGTCTCTGCTGCTGTGTCACGGAGGATGTCAACATTAACGGAGACTGCAGGAAATCAAGCGGTGTAAGCGTGACGCCGAGGCTGAGTGGAGAACGTCCGTCACGGACGAGTGACTCCGGGATTCCGGACAAGTGAAAGCTTTGACCGGAGAATTAGAGACAAGCGGGGGATTCGCGGAGAAGACAGGGAACAGCGGAGTTAAGTGACACCAACTCCGGCTTCATTCAACTCACTGGATGGACTATTAAAATGCTAGTTTGTTGTATATAAACCGACGATTATCAACATGTTTTTTGCCGATCTGGGAAGCCGCCCCGATCCCGCACACCCTTGCAACTAACTGAACTTTTTACTCACTGAGGGGGGAGGAAACGGCGTGCACCTCTGCGCTCACGCGGTTTCGTTTTTCCTGCGGATGAACTTTACTCCACGTTTTCAATGATTCGAAATCTGAGCAAGATGTACCCGGGGGTCCGCCAACAGGTAAGCCCGCGACAGTAGCATCTATTAAGTGTGTCCCAAAAGAGCAAATTAGCAGCAGCGCGCGCTTGGTGCGTAATGAGTTTAGGTTCTGATTTCGTGCCATTGCGCGCTCTGGCACAGACAAACGCGCTCTTTGTCATAGCGCTGCAGCTGTGTGTGTGTGTGTGTGTGTGTGTGAGTGTGAGAGAGAGAGTGAGTGTCCGGGACGGTCTGAGTCAAACCCCTCAAGACCACCCCTCCTCATCACAGAGACTTATTGTCGTCCCTTTCTGTGTGAGTGTGCGCGCGGTGCCACTTGGGTGACTCTCCTTCTTCCTCTCTTCCCTCGTCTGGTTCCTCTCGAGGTCCCGCTCCAACCAGGGCAGCCGGGAAAGTTCACCATCACCGAGTCCTGCGACCGGATCAAGGAGGAGTTCAAGGTTCTGCAAACCCAGTATCACAGGTGAGAGTTCAGATGCGTGGAGAAAAAAAAAATTGTTATGGAATCATGAAGTCGATGACTCTTTAAGTTAAGTGACAGAAAATGTATAAAGGGCAACTTTATTAAATAAAATATTCATATGTGACTCACATGGTCTGTAATCAGTTTGATTCAATAATAATAATAATAAAAAAGAACTACACGATCGCATGGTGGAAAAGTGGTTAGAACTCTGTCTTAAGATCACTGGTTCAATCCTATAGCTGATCTGATGTAAAGACTGTTCTCCATGTGTGAATGGATGAATTGAATGTTTGTTTCTGTCAAAGAAAGTTTGAAACTGAAAGAAATTATTTTTTTAAAATGAAATTTAAATACAAGTCTAAACCATTGACCTTAGGACGAGTGACTCCGGGATTCCGGACAAGTGAAAGCTTTGACCGGAGAATTAGAGACAAGCGGGGGATTCGCGGAGAAGACAGGGAACAGCGGAGTTAAGTGACACCAACTCCGGCTTCATTCAACTCACTGGATGGACTATTAAAATGCTAGTTTGTTGTATATAAACCGACGATTATCAACATGTTTTTTGCCGATCTGGGAAGCCGCCCCGATCCCGCACACCCTTGCAACTAACTGAACTTTTTACTCACTGAGGGGGGAGGAAACGGCGTGCACCTCTGCGCTCACGCGGTTTCGTTTTTCCTGCGGATGAACTTTACTCCACGTTTTCAATGATTCGAAATCTGAGCAAGATGTACCCGGGGGTCCGCCAACAGGTAAGCCCGCGACAGTAGCATCTATTAAGTGTGTCCCAAAAGAGCAAATTAGCAGCAGCGCGCGCTTGGTGCGTAATGAGTTTAGGTTCTGATTTCGTGCCATTGCGCGCTCTGGCACAGACAAACGCGCTCTTTGTCATAGCGCTGCAGCTGTGTGTGTGTGTGTGTGTGTGTGTGAGTGTGAGAGAGAGAGTGAGTGTCCGGGACGGTCTGAGTCAAACCCCTCAAGACCACCCCTCCTCATCACAGAGACTTATTGTCGTCCCTTTCTGTGTGAGTGTGCGCGCGGTGCCACTTGGGTGACTCTCCTTCTTCCTCTCTTCCCTCGTCTGGTTCCTCTCGAGGTCCCGCTCCAACCAGGGCAGCCGGGAAAGTTCACCATCACCGAGTCCTGCGACCGGATCAAGGAGGAGTTCAAGGTTCTGCAAACCCAGTATCACAGGTGAGAGTTCAGATGCGTGGAGAAAAAAAAAATTGTTATGGAATCATGAAGTCGATGACTCTTTAAGTTAAGTGACAGAAAATGTATAAAGGGCAACTTTATTAAATAAAATATTCATATGTGACTCACATGGTCTGTAATCAGTTTGATTCAATAATAATAATAATAAAAAAGAACTACACGATCGCATGGTGGAAAAGTGGTTAGAACTCTGTCTTAAGATCACTGGTTCAATCCTATAGCTGATCTGATGTAAAGACTGTTCTCCATGTGTGAATGGATGAATTGAATGTTTGTTTCTGTCAAAGAAAGTTTGAAACTGAAAGAAATTATTTTTTTAAAATGAAATTTAAATACAAGTCTAAACCATTGACCTTAAATTAAATGAACAAGGACTAGAAATGATTATATAAAATAATAGTCTGGTGATAAAATAATAATATGTATATATTTTTTTTTAAACATTTGTTGGATGAAGGCTGGAATTTTATTTACTTCCTGTGCTCAAAATGTATTTGTATAATTCTGTTTTATAAAAAAAAACCCACTATTTTACACATATTTAACTGTTAGCTCCAGTAAATTACTTTCTTAACCCTCGTCTGTCACAGTGTACGATTTAAGAAACAACAATCAAACAGAAGAACAACAGGTCAAATCATTTTTATTTTCAGAAAAGAAAAGAAAAATACACAAAACTGTATAGTGAAGTATTTATAGAGTACCATGGTGATCTGTGCTTACACGTAGCAATTGAAGTTTTTGAGAAATCTCATGTAACAAACTTGTTTTTTTTAGTTGTTGTGATGTCAACATAAAATAAAAATCACATCATTATAATTTCATAATTAAAAAAGTTGTTTTTTTTAAAAAAAATCCATGTAAATGATCAAACCTTAAAACTTCTAAAAACACAATGAACTTCTTCCCCCGTCCCTCGTCCCGTTTGTCTCCGTCGAAATGACGCAGGTTTTTTTTCGGGTTAAAAACATCAGCCTGGCTCTGGAGGAGTCAAGCGTTTGTGTAACTACGGTTGTTAAAAAAGGATCCTCATTATATGGTGGCTTTTCTGTTGACGGTGCAGTTTGCAGTTTCCCACTCACACTGTAAGAATATGTGATGAGGTTTGCGTGGACGTCCATTGATCCATTAATTACTGTACCTGCTGAGTTAGTGTCTGTGTCTGCGGGGAAACGGCTGTGATGCAGGCAGCTCATTTAAAAAAAAAAAAAAAAAAAAAAAAAGGATGAAACAGGGGTTTTATGTTTCTTCTTACGCCGTTTCCCAAAAAATCTTGTGTACATTTGAGTAACAGCTAATGTACTGAATTTCACAAAGATGTTTTTTTTGTGTTCTTTTGCTCAGTGTGAAGTTGGAGTGTGAAAAACTGACCAATGAGAAAACAGAAATGCAGAGACACTATGTCATGGTGAGTATGTTTTCAGGGCTGCAGTCCTGACTTTACTAAGTTTTGGTTTTTTTTTTTTACATATAATTTAAAAAAAACCTACTTTTTTATGTGTCAAACCCAAGGCCTGTGGACCAAATGCGGCCCATGAGGTGATTTTGTGTGGCCGACAAGAGTTTAAAAAGTGTTTAATTACCTTATAGTAAAGTCTATCGACCAGAAAAAAATGACCACTACAACAATGCATTTCACAATGATGAGCGGTCTATCAGCAGAGATCAACTTCACCCAGAACTGGACTCACGAACTGCAGTTCTATCTGTGTTTGTCGTATGGGTTTTGTAATTTATTTGAAAAGTTTTAAAGTTTTAGTTATGATGCGAAATAATGTATAATATTCATAATAAAAAGGGAAAACATTCATTAGCACATTATGGAGTACTTATATCGATACAATTTTGTAGTTCTGATCTACATTTTATGGCCCAAATAACAAGTCAACTAAGAGTTGACTTGTTATTGTTGCAGCACCAACGTGTTCTTTTACTGGATACATTTCAATATCTCTGTGAAGTACAATGGATTTTTTTGTTTTGTTTTTCAGTATCACGAGATGTCGTGTGGACTCAACATCGAGATGCACAAGCAGGTAGGGAATCTAGCAATCCATCCATCCATCCATCTATTTATCCATCCATCCATCCATCATCCATCCATCCATCCATCCATCCATCCATCCATCCATCCATCCATCCATCCATCCATCCATCCATCCATCCATCCATCCATCCATCCATCCATCCATCCATCCATCCATCCATCCATCCATCCATCCATCCATCCATCCATCCATCCATCCATCCATCCATCCATCCATCCATCCATCCATCCATCCATCCATCCATCCATCCATCCATCCATCCATCCATCCATCCATCCATCCATCCATCCATCCATCCATCCATCCATCCATCCATCCATCCATCCATCCATCCATCCATCCATCCATCCATCCATCCATCCATCCATCCATCCATCCATCCATCCATCCATCCATCCATCCATCCATCATCCATCCATCC